CTATGAATATCTGGATGGGGAAAAACAGGCTTCTAAGGAACCTCAGCAAGACTGAGTGGCTTTGGGTTTGGGGGGATCTCTAGTTCTAGGATTATACAATCTATGGTGCTGGGTGGAGTAGCATTTGCCACAAACAGACCATGCAAGAAATGTGGCGTCCTTCTAGACTCACAACTCCTGCTTTAGGATATGGCAAGAAAGGCCTTTTCACAACTGTATAGAAAAGAAAGGCCTTTTCACAACTGTATATGCCAGTCGCACCTCTTCCAAGACAGAAAATGCCCTGGTCACATCTTGGTTAGACAAGGTTCAAGGTTCAAGGTTCATTTTATTTATATGCCGCCGGGACTCAGGACGGCGCACAAACTCAAGGAGGGGAAGGGAAACACAAAAACTACAACAAAAAGTACAGGGAATTTAAAACAACCAACAGCCACATGATTCGAGAGGGGAAGGGAACTCATCGACCCCAGGCCTGCTGACACAGCCAGGTTTTAACGGCTTTTCGGAAGGCCTGGAGAGGGTCCGAATCTCTGCGGGGAGCTCGTTCCAAAGGGCCGGAAGGAGACAATCCTGCCTTGTCTGCATTAGTCTTATTAGCAGAGCAGATCTTAGCATTTTGATATATATACATATGGAATAATTATCACTAATGGGACAGAAAATAAATTGCATTTCCATGCAGTTTAGCATGTGCATCCCATGTAGAAAAAAAAATCCATTTCTAAGGCTTCAGAAGCTGAAGATGTTTGTGAAACACAAGCTGACTTGTCATTCCAGGTACTGAATAAACAGAACGCCTTACAACAGTTCGACAGTTACAACAGTTAATGAGCGCTCAAAATTAAAACGGCACTGAAATAAGTGACTTTTGACTGTTTTGAAAAAATACCTTTGCAGTATTCCCATTATCATGTGATCAAAATTCAGATGTTTGGAAACTGGTTCATATTTATGACCGTTGTTGTGTCCCAAGGTCATGTGATCACTTTTTGTGACCTTCTGATAAGCAAAGTCAATGGGGAAGCCAGATTCACTTAACAACCGTTACTAACTTATCAATTGCAGCGATTCACTTAAAAACGGAGGCAAAAAAGTCATAAAATGGGGCTAAACTCAACAAATGTCTCAACCAGAGAAATGTTGGGCTCAGTTATGGGTCATAAGTCAATGACTACCCTTAATGCTAAAGAGCTGACCAGATGGGCTTTTAACTGAAAGCATTTTTTCTACCTTTGTCTCTCTCTGTCTCAGGGTAGTTAGGAACATCTTGAAATTTAGAACAGAAGCAATCTTTTTTTTTTAATTGAAAATTTTTGAAAAAAAAAAGGCTTTTACAAATATTTACCTCCCCTCCCCCACCCTCCCCACCCAGACCCAACCCCCAGAAAAGAAGCGATCTTGATTGGAAGTCAGGAAATGATATCACTGATTTCTAAAAGCTTCTAACAAGTAAATATTGTATTATCAAGTCATTGTGAAATCTTAGTAAATGCACAGGTGGATCATCTTCGGGATGATCTGCCCTTATCCTAACCATTCAGATCTCCTGATGGCTTCCATCACTGCGCTAATAAAATCCTTTTCACCTTTCTACTTCAATCTTTTCTGGCATTATGGATTTTTCTCAAGAGAACTAGATTTTTGCATAGCATGTCCATTATATGAATTTCAGCCTAATAATTTGTACCTTAAAATAAATTTTAATTAATTTGTTTGTTTTCTGACAATCTATGGTATTCTTGGGAGTTTTCATATCAATACTCTTTTTATCCAGTTTCTTGAAATTTTCTGCATGATTCTGTGATCTTCGTGCTCCGGTATAAATACATCATGGCATCTGAATCAGTGGTGGGATTCAAAAAATTTTACTACCGGTTTTGTGGGCATGGCTTTGTAGGCTTGGTGGGTGTGGTTTGGTGGGCATGGCAGGGGAAGGATACGGCAAAATCCCCATTCCCACCCCACTCCGGGGGAAAGATACTGCAAAATCTCCATTCCTACCCCGCTCCAGGGGAAGGATACTGCAAAATCTCCATTCCCACTCCACTCCAGGGGAAGGAGACTGCAAAATATCCATTCCCATCCCACTAACCTGCTTTCCAGCTCTGTTCTCCTGTGCAGGACACCAAAAGAAGACCCAGCAGATCTGGGACTCAGCGGGCAGTGAATAGATAGGGGTGGGGTCAAGGAGAGGTAGTATTTGCCAGTTCTCAGAACTACTCAAAATTTCCGCTACCAATTCCGTAGACCAGTCAGAACCAGCTGAATACCACCTCTGATTGGAATATATTTTCCAGAGCCTTCATTGCTATGTATTGTAGTGCTAGTTTTAGCTCATTTGATTGTTAGTTCCTTTGTAGTTATTCTAAAAGGCAAAAGCTATTATTACTTCATTGTCAGTTCTAAGGATGCTTGCTAATATGTTGTAGCCAGTTGGAAAATGTTCCCTTTTTGTGCGTGTTCCTGTTTCTATTTTTGATGTCCTTAAAAGATTTCGTAATAACCTCTTTTTGTCAACAGCTTCCAGAAATTCTTTGCTAAGTGTCTTTCTAAGAGCTTTATTTTTCTTGAGTTTTGCTTCTCTTCTTGGCAATTTCCACCATTTGTTGACATGTAATTTGATTTCTTCTATTCCACTTTAGCTTGAGTTGGAACATGCATTTCAGCAGTTTGTGATCTGCTGTAGTTAGTCCCTGGCCATACTTTTCCAATTACAATATGACTGCATTCTTCCATCCTTTTGTACCAATACAAGTTTGATTTTTATGAACTCCACCTGGATATACTCATGTGTGTTGGCATCATTTTAGTTGTCTAAGACTGCAATGAAGAAATAATTGGACTGAATAGCTTATTATTCTAAGCTGCTTGTCCGCTTTATTTCAGCTTATAGGCCACATATCCAATTACCTTTTTAATGTTTCCAACTTGGAAGCAACTTGCTTGGATATTTTTATTTATTTGTATCCCATCTTTATTATTTTTACAAATAACTCAAGGCAGTGAACTTATCCAACACAACTTCCTTCTATTTTTCCCACAACAAAGCTGTGAAGTGTCTTGGGCTGAGACAGATTGATTGGCCTATATTAGTCACCCAGCTGGCTTTCATGGGTAAGTTGAATGCATGGTCTTTCTAATCTGGTGCCTTAACCACTCAACCAAATTGGCTTTAATATTTTGTCAATTTTAGATTTAAAATAACCATAAAACCCACCATAATTGCTGCCCAATATATTACTTGCTTGCTTTAGCTGAGCAGCTGGGATGATCTTCATACCTCTGTGACATTGCTGAGTACCGTGTGTGTGTGTGTGTGTGTGTGTGTGTGTGTGTGTGTGTGTGTGTGTGTATATATATATATATATATAAAGGTACACTCCCAGAATACTTCACTTGTTCCTGATAGAAAACTCTCCCTGCCATGATGAAGCAGGATAGCAGGGCAGGAAAATGGAATCATTAGTTAGGATTATTAAATTTAATGCAGTATAAACTTGGTTTGGGAGCGTTGCCTTATTTTAAAGAGTCTGATCTAGATTGTTGTGTCTGTTGTGTGTGCATGTTGTGGGAGACCCTAGATTGATGGAGCAACTGTTCACAATCAAAATTACTTTTTTCACCTGTTTTTGTTTCAACTTTTTTTCTAGTTTTTTTCTGATTTGCTGTGTATAATAAAGACTGATTCCTGATTCCAGACTAACTTTCAGTAAAGGAGGAATGGAATAGTTTAGTCGGAGCACAGCTTCTTTTCACTCTCTATTCCAAGGGCAGCTGCAACTGATTGCACTAGAAAATAAAAAGATATGAAATGAGCCAGCTAACCAACAGACAGACTGGTCAAGGGATTTCCATCAGCCCCCATAGACCACTCTGCTTTTGAAAAATATTCACGTGTTATAATTTAGAACTTACTAACTGCAACCTTATAGCCCAACTCAATACACATAAAAGGCTTCATTTTCCACAGGTAGGTAAAGTTGCAAAGTTATGTGTCCCCGCTGTTAACCACATTAACATCACACTCATCAATTACCAATGTCCCTGGAGGGCAAACCCTTTTTTGGAAATGATATTTTAATTCAAGGGCCAAATTCTATTTTGCTTTCAAATAACCCTATTTTTCTGTGCGGTGGTCAGTTCAAAGAAAATTCACAAATTATGGATCAGAAGGCGCGGCCGGTGCACCTCTGCTTGCCTCGGTCACTTATTAGATTGAAGGGGAACTAAGTTTGTTACAGGTGCCCAAGGCAAGGTAGATAATGGCTGCAATTCAGCTGCACCTGCCAGGAGTAAAATAAACTTAGTTTTCGGAGCATTTCCTTATTTGAAGCCGCGGCTGCATTGCCTGTACTCTTTACTAACACGAAGCGGCTAGCCTCCATTCTCCCGGCCTCCGAAGTCCGGCTGACCTTCGTCCCATGGACCGCTCTGGATATCAGCGGCCGCAGGATCCGAGTCCCGCTTCGGACGTTCCTCCTGCTGTCACGTACATGTGGCAAGTCTTGACTCGCGCTGTAACATATTTTCCCTTTTGTTTTTCAGCCTTTTCCTTTTAATCCCGTACTCCGGGAAATGAGAGTTGCTTGCAACGGCGACTCTTGACAATCTTAAGATGCGTGTCATCAATTATCAACCAGACCGTCGACAGCAGCGGGCTTTCCTGCAAACAACTAATCCAACGATTCACCAGTTGGGGTTTGCTTTTTTCCCTTACAAGTAAGACCTGAGTCTTACTCAGAATAACAGAGTTGGAAGGGACCTTGGAGGTCATCGAGTCCATTCACTACTCATTCACTTGTCATTTCGTTTGGGATTTTGAAAAAAATATATTTTCTGAACCTCGGGGTGGAAAGCGAGGCGTTTTGCAGCGACAGCCTCCGCGCCGTTTGCGGTGCTTTCTGGGAATTGCAGTCTTAAGGCGCTCCTTTCGCCTGCCAAAATGCCGCCGGTTCCGGGATTAATCGGTCACATGTCGCCTGTCCGGCTCTGCAGCGGCGGCCCTCGGGTGTAGGAGACATATGGCGGCGGGGGGCGCGAAGAAGCAGGTCCGCTTTGCCCGGTTGGAAGAAGAGGAGGGAGCGCGAGAAGAAGCGGGAGCCCTCAGGGACGCCGTTGGGGAGGATGCGGCCGCCGGAGAGTCGCCGCCTGGAAGCTCGGCGCCGCTCGCCCTTCAGCCGGTCGTAAAGGTGGCTGATGGCAGCGGGCGAAGAAGCCGGGCAGGTGGCGGCCTTGGCGCTGGAAAGCTGGCGGCGGCGGCGGCGGTGGCGGCTTCCCGGCGGGCACTGAAGTGGTGCATTTCGGCTGCTCTTTGCGCCGCTTTCCTGGGCCTGGTAAGGAGACTTGTTTCTCTAAGAGATTTATTTGCCAAATCATCATCTATCAAATTGTATCTTGGTAGGAGACTCACACAAGGATGTCTTTTGAAAACAGGTATGTCAGTAGGAAAATAGGCAAAGTGTCAAATACCCAGGACTGGCGAAAGGTACTCCAGATCTCTGGTTCTAGTTGTCTATATGGATCAAGACCTCCATAAGGAATTATTCCAACCCTATCCAAAATAAATTTACCATAACTAATCAAACTTTATTATGGTCATTTACCAGTACCTCTCCCAAAAAATCTGCTATTAGAAGCTAAGCTCTTCATCAACCTAAGCTAAGTTTCAGGTTTTTAATTTTAGTCAGACTTTTGTCTTTTATTGAATTCAAATTCGTGGATGCTGGTTTGAAGTCAAGGTTACCCAGCTTCAAGATGACCACAGTGTTCATAAAGTGCTTTTGAGCCAGATACTGTCTCTCATACCAACCTATATGGCTGTTGCAAAAATGAAACTGGAAGAAATAATAATACAATACAATAGCAGAGTTGGAAGGGACCTTGGAGGTCTTCTAGTCCAACCCCCTGCCTAGGCAGGAAACCCTATACTGTTCCACTGATTAATTGTTCTAACTGTCAGGAATTTCTCCTCAATTCTAAGTTGCTTCTCTCCTTGATTAGTTTCCACCCATTGCTTCTTGTTCTACCCTCAGGT